GTCTGAAACATTAATGGAATAGTGTGTAATTCATTCAGGATGACTTTTACTGTAAGATTAATTGAGCCAGGAATTATTTATTTAGTTTATGTCAAGCAATGTATTTATTCATTTCAATCTACGATTTATTTATTTATTTATTGGCTAGGAATTTATTTAGTTCATTCAGTCCGTGGGTTTTCTTTTAACATTTATTTATTGCTATTATCTGCTCTGCAAAGCCGCAAGATTCTTTATTTAGTTCCCTCATCACAGAAGGTATGCTCATTTGAAATCCCGTCAATGTTTGTTTAATATATTCACCCAATGGTCTATTTATTTATTACCTTAGCTTAAGGGAGCAATTCTGTGTGAGATTTAACAAAGTATTTCAAAATCTTTCCTCATGGAGGAAATAAAATGCAGCATAATAAACAACAGACCTAAAGTGTTGGGAATGGCAGGCATATTGAGTAAACTGAAGTGGACACAGTAAGGTATTAGGGACGAAAATCAGTCATTTGTACGAGCTTCACACTAACTGCAATAATACTTGTGTGATTGTAGAAGATAATTAGATCTTGAGGTTTCGATTTTTTTTTTACTGCTGAACGCCCATTCTAGCATAATCAAGTCAATAGTGGATGATGGGAACAGTTTGATCCTTCAAGTATGTATGTGAATTTCTGTCCATTATTTCTCGTATTTTCTATTATGGTTTGACATGGTCATTGTATGATGGCTAATCAACTGTGGTGTAGGCAATTTCAGTCCAAATAAGTGACTTTAACCCTTTATATTTCAATCATTTTGTGGGTTTTGTGGACTTTGTTTTGTTGCTATTTACTTTTCTACTTAGGTTCTCATGAATCTTTGGGCAGAATTATTGTTTTAAGTTATTGCCACTGCATTGTTTAGCATTGTGATGGAACTCTGCCTGTCCCTGTGATTGCATTGCTCACTGATCTTTCCTTGTGTAATGCACAGGAAGGATTAGGTCCACTAATATTACTCCTGGCAGCGATTGTTACCTGGCATAACGCTTTGTGGTTGTGTTCTCTGGAACCATCTGAGATGATTTGGATAGATTCATTCATCAATCCTCTATAATGGTATTGATTTTTGCTACTGATGCCAAGTGGGTAAGTGTAACCACAGAAAGTCTTCAACGGAAGATAGGCTTAGTCTGAAAAAAAAACAGTAAAAGCTTATTACGTAGTACTTGATAGCTACTTACGTTACATCTCAGATACATAGAACTATAGAGTTATACAGCACAGAAACAGACCCTGCGGTCCAACGCGACTGGGCCAACCAGATTTTTCAATCTGACCTAGTCCCATTTGCCATCATTTGGCCCATATCCCTCTAAACCCCTCCTATTCATATACCCACCCAGATGCCTTTTAAATGTTGGAATTGTACTCGCTTTCACCACTTCCTCTAGCAGTTCATTCCATATATGCACCACCCTCTGTGTGAAAACATTACCCCTTAGGTCCTTTTTAAATCTTTTTCCTCTCAACATAAACCTATGCCATCTAGTTTTGGATTCTCCCACCCTAGGCAAAAGACCTTGGCTATTCATCTTACCCATGCCCCTTGTGATTTTATAAACCTGTATAGGTCACCTCTCAGTCTCTGTGTGAAAAAGCTCCAGGCTATTCAGCCTGTAACTAAACCCTCCAGTCCTAGCAACATCCTTGTAAGTCCTTTCTGCACCCTTTCAAATTTCACAACATCCTTCTGTAGCCGGGAGACCAGAATTGTATGCAGTATTCTAAAAATGGCCTCACCAATGTCTTGTACAGCCATAACATGATGTCCCAACCTCTGCATCAATGTTCTGACCAAGGAAGGCAAGTGCACACGGAACAGGTAATGGGGGAAATCACAGTTTATTCCACTTTTTTTAAATGAAACCTATTTTATTTCTCTTCTCCTGTCTGTAATAGAAGGAGAGAAGTCATGCATAATTTGCTTTGGAAACTATTATTCAGTTGCAGGAAGCACTGGGCTGTAAGTTGTGTCTCCACTAGCTGTTCCATGTTCTCTCCTTCCCATGCAACCACATTCTGTAGCTGGGAGAGAGGTGCTTTAATCCTCTCTAAGCACACCTTCATCCTCAATCTCCTTGCAACATATTAACATACAATGATTTTTGGACGACATAGTACAGCAGAACTCCAGGTTTATCAGTCATAACTCCAGGGCTTTTCCCTATGAAGCTTTCTGGTCTATATGACTGAATGGTAAGAGCTAATACAGTGGATTATTGCAACATGAAGTGTTTTGAGCTTTGGCCATCAGGCAGTTACATGCAGAATAATGTAATTAGCATCGTTCACAAACTTCGTGTTAATTGAGTCAAAGCCCTTCATGTTCAAAAAACTGAATGCATTGTCATCAGGTGGTGCTTTCAGTGTAACATGAATTCCAGAAATTTCTCTGGGGGCCTCTTTCAGAATGCTAAAAGTCCTTAGAGTGGAATAACTCTTGTCATTTTGTATCTCCTGTTCCCTTTGGAGAGAAAATGCAGGTCATTTTATGCAAGGTATCAGTCACCTTCAGGAGTGATCTCATGGATTGCTAATCTGGCAAGGCTGCCTGTAAAGGAGACAGTAGCAATCAGGAAAATGTGTAGCAGCAGTGATCCTGACTGGTACAACCATTGCTTTTCTCTGAGTGGCAGTCAGTCTTCAGCCAGCTGAAATATTTCCCCACAAGGCTCCAGGTTAATGTGGAGATGAGGCTTTCTGAGGCACTCACCAGGATAACACTAAATAAGATCCTCCTGAATTATAAACCCTGGTCAGTGAGTTAGTATCTAAAAAACATTTGTTTTGATACCTCATGTTAATTAAGTGCCTGCAATTTAGTCTCATCCATTTACTTCAGGAACAAAGAGTCTCAATTGGTATATATTCCAGGGAAAAGACAATACTTGTTCTGTGGATCTAGCTGCACAGGAGAGGAAAAGTTCAATGGAAATTTTCGAGCAATGTAAATTAAAATGCTGACAAATTTCTTTATTCTTCCACAGGGTGTGGATATCACTGGCAAGGTCAGATTTGTTCCCCATTCCTAACTGCCCTTGAACTGAGTGGCATTGCTAGACCATTTCAGTGGGTGGCTATGAGTCAACCACATTGCTGTGGGTTTTGAGTCACATGTGGCTTGACCAGGTAAAGATGGCAGATTTCCTTCCCCAAAGACGTACTGCTCTTAAAAGCAAACCTGAGCTGCATCAATCAAAGTAATCCTCGTTCTTCTGTCTTAGTTTTGTTGAAACCCGTTGTTGCATGCATTCGAATGGTTAGCTCACAAGAATCAAACGGCAGCTAAGAAAACACTCCAGTGAACCCTGGAGGCTAGACTAAGCAGATTGACAACTGGGCAAAAGCAAAACCTGTGATAAATGTGGGCATGAGAACTTAGGATTGGAAAAAGTTTCAAAAACATGACAGTGGGATATCAATTTTATACAGACAGAAAGCGTGGAATGAGGCAGGATTATTAATGTGATATGTAAAGAAGTATATGCAGTAAGAAAGGTGAAGCTAATTAAGTTTAACTGCTTGTAGTTGTAACTCTGAACATGGAATGATGTAAGGTAAGAGAGAAAGCATTCCAAAACTGTTCTTGTAACTGTGAGAAGGAAGCCTTTTCCCTGTAGTATTTGTTCAGTCTTGGCCTGTGGGCTCATATTTGCTCTAGACGGTGCTCTAACTCTCACTCCCCATTAAAGGGTTTTGATTTATGTCAAGTCTTGCCTTCAGTGTATGCATCAGCTGCAGGAAGTCTCTCCTGCGAGTTTGGTCCTGGAGAGCACCTCTGCAGTCTGAGCAGACTCGATTTTTATGTCCTGCAAAGTCTTGAGGAAATGTTGTAGCTAAGCACAGCATGGCATTCTTTCCATTTCTCAGGAAAAAATTGCTGTGCAAGTGAAAACTCTCTCATAATTAATAAGCATAGGGCATAATAAATGTGTGAAATTTATTGCAGATAGACCGCAGCATTGCTGATGGGAGCATGGAATTAATTTACTTTAATCCAAATTACCAAAAATGTTCTGATAATGGGAGAAAACTCCATTTCAGCATTTTTGAAGTCACAACATCAGTTTGAGGAAATTTTACCCCCGCACAGTTCCCATGGTTTTTTCCATGGGCGTAACCATGGCCTGGGATTGAAATATTGATGTTTGAACGATTATGCTGTTCTGCCACCATTTTCAAATTGGCTTCACTGCAAATGATAGTCAAGGGAAACTCAACACGGCCTGGCTCATTTCATATTATCATTCAAACTCAAAATTATTCCACTGATTTAATGCTATGATACTGTAAAATATGAGTAATTCAGACTATTTCTTGTGTTTTGTAGATACAGGATATTGGTTAGTCAGTTTAAAATTCATTTTGGGGGCATGCATCTTTATCAGGGCATCTCTTGAGTGGCTGAGCAGTTACAGGAAGGATATTATTAAGCTGGAGAGGGTTCAGAAGAGATTTACCAGGATGTTGCCGGGTATGGAAGGATTGTGTTACAAAGAAAGGCTGGATGGGCTGGGACTATTTTCACTGGAGCGTAAGAGGTTGAGAGGCCACCTTACAGAAGTTTATAAAATAATGAGGAATATAGATAGAGTTAATGGTAGTGGTCATTTCCCTAGGATGTGGGGATTTCATGATTAGGGGGAACATTTTTGTGGTGAGAGGAGAGAGATTTTAAAAAGACGTGAGGGGCATTCTTTTTGCGTAGAGGGTGGTTTGCATATGGAATGAACTCCCTGAGGAAGTGGTGGATGTGGGTACAATCACAACGTTTAAAAGACATTTGGATAATGAATAGGAAAGGTTTGGAAGGATATGGGCCAGGAGCAGGCAGGTGGGACTAGTTTAGTTTGGGATTATGTTCAGCATGGACTGGTTGGACTGAAGGGTCTGTTTCTCTGCTGTATGACTCAATGAAAGTCACAGTCTAGTGACCTGCAACTCTTCTTAAATATTTTTCATCAGCTTTGGGCATGTTATAGCACGTGTGGATGCTCAACTTGGCTACCCTCTACTTGTTATGACACACATCAGGATCAAGGGGGTTATGAACGCTTCTGGCCAAAAGGTAGGGACATTACCACTGTACCACAGGAGTCCCTTGCAACTGTCTTTATGTAGTATTTAAAAATTCGTGATCTTTTCCACTGACTCAGCAAAAGTACTGCCAAGACTTCATTAATGTAACAAAATAAAAACTAGCAGGTGTAGGCCATCTGGCCCTACAAGCCTGCCGCACTGTTCAATATGGCTTATCCTCTATTTCAGTGCCATAATCCCGCTTTCTCCCCACACCCCATGATGCCTTTAAGATCTCGAAGTGGATCACTTTCTTGAATATATTCAGGGACTTGGCCTCCACGGCCTCTGTGGTAGAGAATTTCACAGGTTCATCACCATTTGATGAGGTAACTTTTCCTCATCTCAGCCCTGAATGGCCCAGCCCCATATTCTGTGAGTGTGACCTCTGGTTCTGGATTCCCCAGCCAGACTCCCTGAATCCACTTCATCCAACTCCTACAGAATTATGTATGTTTCAATCAGATTGCCTCTCATCCTTCTCAACTCGAGTGAACACAGGCCCAGTCGAACTGATCTCTCCTGTTGGGACAGTACTGGCATCCCCAATATCAGTCGAGTGAAACGCCCCTGCATTCTCTCCAAGTATCTCGGTCCACTCCACATAAAAGACAGGGTCACACAAAGTTCTTGTATTTACACCAATTCGAAATGAACTTCATAAGTATTTTTAAAATAGTGTCTGCACCAAGGAATCCAGTGTCAAGGGATTCTGCTGTTTTATAGCCATTATTGTAAGACCTTTATTTTAAATATCACTCTCCTCAGGGAAATCTATGGCTTCTTTAAAGCTTTGAATGTGTTTGCGTAACAACAGAATGATAAGTACGAAAAAATTTGCAAAGCTAATTACCCTAATTAAGTAAATTATATTTTCTTAAGCATGCAATGAGATTGGAGTGTAAGAGTATAGAGGTCTTGCTGCAATTGTACAGGTAATCCATGAGACTGCGCCTGAGGTGGTCTGTACAGTTTTAGACTTTGTAGCTAACAAAGGATATTCTTGCCTTAAAGGGGCTGCAATGAGGAAGATTGATTGCTGTGATGAGAGGATTATCATATCTGGGTTTCGAAGATTAAGAGGTTATCGCGTTGAAAAAGATAAGATTCTGAGTGATTAAAACAAAGAACTCGGATTCTGAGGATCTGAAATAAAAACAGACATTGCTGGAGAAACCAAGTAGGTCTAGCAGCAACTGTGGGGAGAAACAGGAGTTAATGATTCTGATCAGTTCTGAAGAAGAGTCACTGGAACAAAACATTAACTCTGCTTTCTGTCTGCAGGTACTGCCAAAACTCACTGGGTTTCTCCAGCAATTTCTATCTCGGTTTAGGATTCTGAGAGGTTTTAGTGTAGTAGACGCTGAGAGACAGTTTCTCCTGCCTGAAAAGTCCAGAACACAAGGCTACCAATGGATCCTTCGTGGCCTGTGGAGTCTAGATTCAGAATTCAAGTCGGTGAAACTGGAAGAACCTGTTGAAAGGAGCTAATCCTCCATTCAGAGGTTGTTGCTATTCTGCATTAGCTGCTAATAGGTTTATTCATAAACTTGTGGGTAGCCAATGTGGGAGAGTAGCAGTGTGTGATTGTTGGAGCAGTGCAATGTGAGTATACTCACTCACTCTGAGGCCTGGAGTCTGCGAGATAGAGCTGGAGAGACACTTACTTGGCATGGGGAAGGCAATTATAATATTCATACATCCTGTTAAGAGCAGTTTTTTTTGTGCTGTCGAAATGTTGCCAAGAGCAGACCAAACCTTCAGTAGAGGTGGAGCCGTTTTCCAGCAGCAGCAGTGGGGATGATATATTTTTATGAACAAAGAGGGGACTGCAGGCAGGACAGTCAGTCTCTCTAGGCACAGTGGTGTCACTCAGTGGGGGGATAGAGAGCCACAGTGAGGTCATGAGCACCAACAACTGCAGCAAGGATGGCTGACTGACTGGGCGAGTGAGGGAGTGGGTAGCTGGGCAAGTGTGGGAGTGAGTCAGTGGGTGGGTGAGTAAGGGAACGGGTAGCTGGGCGAGTGAGGGAGTGAGTGGGTGGGTGGGTAAGTAGGGGAGTGGGTAGCTGGGTGAGTGAGGGAGTGAGTGGGTGGGTGAGTAGGGGAGTGGGTAGCTGGGTGAGTGAGGGAGTTAGTGAGTGGGTTGGTGAGTAAGGGAGTG